AAAAATATATTTGACATTTTTAGATACAGTCAATAAATAATGTGAATATGTATTATAAAGTGAAAATTTAAGTGAATGTGTTCGGAATTAGGACGCTTGTAGACTGGGGTGTTTTTTCCACAAATTTCTATTTAAAAAAAATAAATTTTTCCAATGTTTTGAAATTTAGTCTGTTACGCTTTTTTGACAGAACTTCTCCTGCTGTAAAAAACATCCTCTCACACGGCACAGATGATGCTGGAGTGCAAAGGTATTGCAATGACAACTGGAAGAGGTTAGGATAAATAATCTTTTGGTTCTACCAGTGTGTTATTGGATCCTGACATCTGCCAATATTGCCCTCTGCAAGGTATCTCTGCACCTCCTGGATGGCATCAGCTGTGGCACTTTTGGTCCATCTGCCTATTCAGTGTCAAGATGGTGCCAAAGGTTATCTAAAAACAAATTGCCATTTTAGTACATAATGTCCAAACAACAAACAAATAGTGCTGAATAACATGGCGGAGTTGGGTACAGACCGCTGTTGTGAAGATGGTCCCAGCTGGGGCTCATTTGTGCGTCCGATCATAGGCGCACATGCTGACCACAGTCTGCTGATGCCTTTGGAGGAACTGCGGAACCCAAGTGATGTAAAGCTGGGGTCTAGAAGTGTTGCTAGGGTCAACACATGTTTTGACTCCAGATTGGAAGCAGTGTCTGTGACTCGACGCTTCTGTTGTTCATGTAGGTGTATGGCTGCCTGGGTGTGTAAGGTTGATGCATTACGCTCTAGTGCAGTGTTTCTCAACCTTTTTTGGGCCAGCGCCCCCCCTAGCCTTTATCCAGGTCCCTCACCACCCCCCACTAAAGAATTTGTAGGCTACTTTACACTGACTATTATTTTATTATTAACGTTGCCATCACTACTGTAGATGTTTTGATTTTTATGCTTGCTTCTGTATTTATCAAAAATAATTTCCCAGAGAACAAAAAAGCCATGGGAATAGAAATTATTTTCACAGGTGTTTACGAAAAATGCAATGAACATTCAACTTAAAATCAGTAGGGTTAAAAGCAGCCTATCAGAGTGGAAAAAATATTCTTGTTCTGTGCCATTTTCTAGTTGTTAAATATTACACAAAATTACCAGATAAAAAATTTACAACAGTGCCAGTTCAATCTGGAGAGACTCAGACGGAGAAAGAAGGCGATTAAAAGAGTTTAATGACAAAATGAACATGAAAATAAAAAGTCCTTTGGCGTTCAGGCCCCGGCCGGGGACATCGAGCTGGACTTCGATGAGCTCGATGAACATTCCTGATGCAGCATAGGAATGTAGACCCCCAAAGTGGGGCTGAGGCCGGGGCCAAAGCCCGGGTAGGAGAGGTACTAATACGAGGTTTCGAGATGGAACTTGGGGATCGGAGGAGGCAAAAATATGGAGGAGGTGACCAAGCAAATAGAAGAGGGGGTGACTAGGGACTCGATAAGAAGTGAAATGAATAGGGGCCAAAGAGGACGCCCCGATGCAATGGTGATTGACTGCTGGGAGAAGTAGGCCAGTAGGGGTTGCCGCAAGGCACGAAAGGGGGAATGCTGGTAGATGAAGGCCAGCTGCTTTTTCGCCTGAACTGTGCTGCGCTGGAGCAGAAGGGGGAGAAGTAATGGGCTAGAGCAGGAGGGAAGTAGATACATGTACATAGAAAGCAGGAAGAATTTATTTTATTCTTTTAACAGAAGTGGGACGAAAAAGAGGGTGACGGGAGAAGTGAGGAAGAGGTTACCTAGGAACGATGAGTGGGATAGATAGGGGCCAAAAAGGGGCGCTGCAAGATGTTGAATGAGAGGTAGCTGATGGATGAAAGCCAGGAGGGGACGCCGTGAGGCAGGAAATGGTGGGATGCTGGCGGAAGAAGGCCAGCAGGGTACGAGGGTGTCAAAGGACTGGGGCATTAAAAGGTGGTAGATGAAGGCCAGCGGGGGACGCCGAAGCGTATGTTGGTGAGAGGCTGGTAGATGTAGGCCAGCTGCTGGTGACTGGGGCATTAAAAGGTGAAGTGGTGGTAGATGAAGGCCAGCGGGGACGCCAAAGCGTATGATGGCGAGAGGCTGGTAGATGCAGGCCAGCTGCTGGTGACTGGGGCATTAAAAGGTGAAGTGCTGGTAGATGAAGGCCAGCGGGGGACGCCAAAGCGTATGATGGCGAGAGGCTGGTAGATGTAGGCCAGCTACTAGTGACTGGGGCATTAAAAGGTGAGGTGCTGGTAGATGAAGGCCAGCAGGGGCACGAGGGTCATTTACGGGGAGGGATGCTGGTAGATCAAGGCCAGCTGGGGTGGTGCTATGAAACCATATTGAGCAGGTGGAAAGGGACAGTTGTGCATTACTAGTATGATGAGGAAATTAAAAGAAAAGAGAGAATGGGTTAGAAAGGAAGGAAACGACTTCTTGCTACTGGAGACGAGATGCTAGACTTATGTTAGCCTCACAGGGAGACAGAGGATGTGGGTGAGGAGGTCAATCTGGATGAAACCTGAAATAGCAAGTAAAAGTTTATTTATAAAGCGCTTTTCCTAGACATAATCACAGCGCTGTACAATGGAAATACATAAAAATGCACGAAACCAACAGAACAAAATGGAGAGATAAAAGCCTGGGAAAATAAAAACGTTTGTAGTTGCTTTTGAAAACCTCCGCAGTCGGCAACGAAGCTGTAAAGGCAAACTGATCCATAGCCTGAAGACCACCGACTGAAAGGCCCTGTCCTCTTTAGTTTTAACAGAGTTCGTGGAACGACCAACAGATTCTGACTTAGGGAGTGGAGACCGCAGGCAGCAGAACATTTAGTTAAAAGCTGACAAAATATGCAGGAGCCTGACCATGTAATGCTCTGTATGTCAGGACAAGAATTTATAGGGGGTGAAGGACGAAAGGGCATGGTTCGTATAACATTTTCTGGAAAAAGCGTGGGATTTGAATGAGGTTGACCAACCACCACCAGTAATTGCGCAATGCTACTGACACTGAAGGAAGCTGCGAGCACAGAAGAGTTATGAGTAATTATAAGGAGAGGATGCTTAGGGTGAAATAACGAAGCTATTGCATGATGCTGAAGGGATACCCTGAAGACTGAAATCTAAAGGCTGAATGATGAATATAGATTCTAGCTTCGAGGTTGCAAGGAAACCTTGCAACCTCGAGATTTCCTCGAGGTTGCAAGGTTTGTGGGAGCTTGAAATGATACAGGCATAAAGAATAAACGTTTGAACTAGAATGGAGTAAAAGACTAAGAAAATATAAGGAATAAATTTCAGTGCGAGACATGAGATTGAGATTTGAAGTAGGTGACTCTGACCAATGGCGGGACTGGACGGAGACTGAGAGGGGCGGCTTATCAGCAAGGGTGTTAGAAAGACCAGGGCTGAAAATGAGCAGAGATGCCAACGTGATGGGTGCCGATTGAAGTCATGAGACAGATTGGTGGAGGTTCAGCTCTATAGTTGGACACGACTGCTTATGGAGGAAAGCGACGACATGGGATCACTTGCAGAAATTCCCCTTCAGGGAACAGGTTAAGGCAATGGGACGGATTAGTAAAACCCTGGGGACTTTGGCTGCTGAAATGAAGATGGAGCAGATACGAAGATTTTTTTTTTTTTTTTTTTTAAGACTTGATCTTGTTGAAATGAGCCGTGCAGATGAACTTCATTGGACCCGGCAATGAAATGGAGGTCCTGTTCCTCTGGATGGGCCGTATGCTTCAGAACGCTGCAAATGCTGATTGGCTGTTGCAATTGGGGCCACGAAAATGACTGCTAATGCAATCGGCTCTGAGGTGAGAATGGAACAAACGTGTTTGAGCATGGAACCTGGGCAAGCTAGAAAGTACGCTGCATCGACCTGGATGTGACAGGATGGCTTGGGAATAATAGCATGCAGATTTTGGACGATCCAAGACGAGAGGTGCAACTTAGACAACCCCGGCTACGGATGAGTTTAATGCGCGAGGTGTGGAGG